ACGGAAACTTTCCCTGTGATGTACCACCCTGGAACTTTCCAGTGTTCAGATGGCAGATGCGTCAGCTGCTTTACTCTGACATTTAAGTACTAACACATACTGGACTCTTAGGAAGAAAGTTCGGGAAAGCATGTAGGGGCATCACTCCCATCTGAGAAGTATACCAAAAAGGATCAGCACGAATTTCTATACTAAGATTTTTGTGTCAAGGTCAGAAAGAAAGAACACTGGATGCGGCAGTTTTTTTTCAGTTTTTAAACAAACAGTGGCCTCGCTGTTACCAGGTTTTTGTTTGCATAACTGTGATCACTTTTCACTCGCTTCGGAAAGATATCAGAAGCAGAAAAGACAACCTAGAGAAAAGCAAGAACAGGTTCAGACTACTGACCCCTCTCTTCCCCCTCCAAACTCTGGACTCGCATTTAGGACTCCTTCCCGCCTCCGCAGACCAGGCACAAAAGTTATCCTATAGATCATCTCCATTCATCCTTTTGATACTTCAGATTTCTAATGAGTGCTGCACTTTAAGTGAAAAAGAGGTCAAGAGTTTTTCAAAGATCATTTATGGTGGCTTGCAAATAAGACCGTAATTTGCTCAGTGCAGAAATTCTACAGGTTGATCTTGAGCCAAAACTAAAAAAACTCAGGAATACGACTCACAAATCGCAAAACCCTACTGCCGTAATACAAGAACACTCACCACTCTATGAATAACACCTGCTTATTAGTACAGTGGAAATGGTATGCATTTTATTTGCAAAATAACACCCAAGGAACAGAGTTGCCTAAACCACCTGGTCAGCGGTATCCTGCACAGAATCACCGATACGGTGTGTGAGGCGGTATTCATCCAAAGACCCTTTTCCAGGACCGATTCTTCAGCGTGCCTGGTCTTCCTTATACCATTGGAGCCTAACAAATGAGGAACACAACACCTGTGGGACTTCAAAAGAAACCAAAACCCACAAAACCTTAGCTATGCCACCGTTATAATTATGAAAAATTATGTAGGCATGATAACAGCACTTAAAAAATAATGTAGTCAAAGAACAAGAGTTTGATGTTTGTAGTGTGAATTTTTTCCTTCACTCTGATTTCAGTTGATGTGGTTTGGGCAACAAATAACAATTAAGAAGTAAAACTGCATTAATTAAATCAGTGTGGTGCCGGCCTAAGGACAGATGGACAGATCAATGAAATCCAACAGTCCAGAAACAGACCCTGGTGTAATAACGTAATATATAATAAAACAGGCATCATGAACCAGGGCATGAGAGGCTGGGGAAGAGAGTTTATCTGACGAAGGTGCTGGAGCTACTGGTTAGCTATTTGGAAAGAAATTACATTGTGATCCTTAGCTCCTGGCATGCAAACACCAAAATTAATTCCAATAGGTTGAAAAATATAGAAGCATTAAAACAAAAAGCCTAGAAAAATCCATGATAAATATTTCTGATTCAGGATGGGAAATATTTTAAAACAGTGGCAGAAATTACAATGAAAAGGATCAAAAGAGCAAAGCCATAAATGTTAAATTTCATAAAAATAAAAAATGCCACCCAACAAAAACAAACGGGAAAAAGTCAGCAACAAATATAACGAAGGGTTTAAGATTGTCGCTATAAAAACAGTACGAACAAATACACCAGGGAGAAAATGGAGTGATCAGTTTACAAAAGCAAAATTTCTCAGGTTCACCAGCAATTAAAAAAAAAAAAAAATTCACCTCATCAAAATATAAAAATTAGTAATACTGAAGGAGGACAAATCTAAGTCGTGCGCCCTGATTTAGTGGGCAAAGCACGGGCTGGTGGATTTTTGCAAAGCAACTTGGTAACATGCGTCGGTGACCTTCCATTTTCATGGTCTTCGACTCAGTGGTGCCCTCCCGAAAGTCAAAGGAAATATTCGGGATGTGGACAAAGGTTTCTGCCCAATCTGGTCAAGAATATTACTTAAATATCTCAATACTAAAAACAACTTAAATGTCCAATATTAGGGAAATGATCAGGAAAGTGTCATAAATCCACAAGAAAAAATATTATAGAAACATAAAAATTATATTCATGAAGTATCTGAAATGACATGGCAAGTATTTAATTCGAGCTTTAAAAAGCAATATGTGAAGTTTTATATAAAGCACAATACTTATTGAAGATAAAAATGCATAGAAAAGACTAGAAGAAAATGTGTCCAGACATTCACAGTGGTTGCCTGTGGGTGGGAGTCGTACGGCTGGTTTGTCGTTTAATATTTGTCCGTGTGTTCTAAATTTTCTACAGTGACCAGGTATCATTAATAAATTTTCATAATCACAAGAATAGCGCCAACAAAACAGAATTTTAAGGGATAATCAAGCACATACCGCTCAACTACATATAAACACACACACATAAAAAACATTATTTATTTATATTTCTACCACTGATTTATTGCTTCGCAACACAGGCCTTTATATGCACATTTAATTTAGTAATTCAAAAAAATAGTTGGGATTTATAGCTCTGAACTATTAGCATTTTATTTGTCTTAAGAGATCACTACTGGGGCGCCTGGGTGGCTCCGTCAGTTAAGCGTCCGACTTTGGCTCAGGTCACGATCTCACGGTCCGTGAGCTCGAGCCCCGTGTCGGGCTCTGTGCTGACAGCTCAGAGCCTGGAGCCTGCTTCCGATTCTGTGTCTCCCTCTCTCTCTGACCTTCCCCCGTTCATGCTCTGTCTCTGTCTCAAAAATAAATAAACATTAAAAAAAAATTAAAAAAAAAAAAAAGAGATCACTACTGAAGAAGACCTAGAAGCTATTTTACTTCAGGGCTTAGTTGGTTATCGAAGATTTATCGGTCGCTTTCTAGAACACGTGGCACACACACTACCTCCACTGTGTGAGGGACAAGAGCTTGGCACAGGTGTCGAACTCTCAGCTCACTAACAACCTAGGAAAATGGCAGAAAAGGCAGGGCCACGCAGTGCTGGGAACACCTTTCGCAACACGGACACTGGGTTATGAAGGAACCAAGGCTGGTGAAGTCCACCAAAACACGTGTTGGAAAGGAAAGAAAAATGAGACAAGATAAAAAGGGTAAATATAGAATTGAGAGAGGCAAGAAGAAAAAAAAAAGTAAAACTCAGAACAACAAGGTTATTCTTTTTTTTTTTTTCTTCCAAATAAAGGGAGCATAAGAAAAACCAAAGTCAGGCAGGAAAGAAGAAAGCAGAATAGGAGATGCGGCCGATGGGTCCAACTGGCTACTATGGCTACTAGTTTTTAATTCCTGAAGCCCTGCCAACAGAGTAACATTCGAGAAAATGCCAGCACTTGCTAAAAACAATATGTGAAGAAATATTTGTTTTCTTAATATTTAACCAACAGGTTTTGCTATGTTTTTGTGTTCTGGAAAAGAAAAAAAAGGCTAAGGCATATACACAAAAACACACCACACACATTTGATCCTATTTTAAGCATCAATGTGTTTGAAACAGAACTTGAGAGTTGATTTAGGTGTTACAAATAAACTTGGGACCGTAACACTGATGAGCACTATAATCTGACATTCCACAGCAAACAGGAGGAGGCTCTGCCCAAAATCGAGCTCTCTATTCTGCAAAGACACACAGCTCGGGAACCTCAGGAGGTATTTAAAAGATTAGCTTGCAAGGGAAAGTCTGCAGATCTGTTCTGCGTTTCTCAACATCTGACCACTACAGTCATAAACGCTTCTCGCCACAACTGAACACCCACATCAGGGAGCCAAAGTTTTCAAATCTCAGTGCTGGTTCAGAGCTGCTCAGGGCTGTCTGACAATTTGGATCTGTCTGCGTTCCACCTGTACTATTATTTATTTAGTATTTTCTTCAAATCAACTCACTTTTTTAAAAACAAAAATACCTACTTTAGGCTGGTTTGTCCTAAGCAATAGAGAAATCACCAGTTTAATGTGCTATACTTACGTTCTGAATACACAGTAAAATAAATGTTTAATGCTTAAATATTTAAATAAAAGTTATGTGTATACAGCATCTAAAAATACTGGATGCACCATTAAGTGGTGAGGTGTACCACTCTTTAGAAAGTACAGTCTAATTCCAAGTTCTGCAACAAAGCAAACTCTGAAATTGTTCATAAATGTTTAAGTCCCAAGCTTTTATTGCCAAGGCAACTACAAAAGGTCCAAATCTTAAAATTTCTGATCACCGCAACTCTCAACGCTTGGTTTACTGCACAGACATTATTTGCCACAAAAAAGACACTTACAAGAAAGATGGTCTCCTGTGAATGAATAAGCTTGCTTTGTCTGTTTGTCTGTTTGTTTCACAGGATTTCCTTAAAAGAAGCCAGGCGACAAATCTGATCATGCCCCCAGCCTGCCAATTTGTCACCTGTTTTCTTCTCGTGCACCTTGCGTGCTGACTTGGTTGTCATGGAATCTAACTTTCAAATGTTTGTGTTTTATCTCACAGGCCTACTTACTACCCCACCTTTGCTTTCATAACCCTTTCCCTTCTTTGGTCCTCTTGTTTCATACAGCAGGTGCTCAATAAATGCCCGCGGAACTGAACAAAATCAATACAATCCAAATCTTATGGCCACGACAAACGGTGTATTTGTTATCACGCAAAGAGACTTTTATTTTAAGGCTGTTACTTCCTTCAAGGCAAGGACTTTGTCTAAGCACACTTACACACTTACACACTCTGGGCAACGTACACTGATTGGAAAAGTACACAGCACGGTAGTTTTTCTCCTCTCTACTCCAGAACCTCAAACACACACAGCCTGGGATAGCTCCAAGAGTATAACCTAAAGATTTTAAATTTTATAAATTGGCCTTTAATAAATTGTACAAAGTATTTAATAAAAAACTTCATATTTTTCAAAGACATAGGTACTTCATGGTTAGCCCTACCCTAAAAGACTCCCATGAAAATGAAACGTTGAAAATAGAAAAAGAGGAGAAAGCCAAACGAAAGGAAGAAAAGAAAAATCAGCTGACAGCATTTGATTTACTTCTGGACTCTCTTCCTGGCTTTCGAACCTTGAAGACAAAAAAACAAAGAAATTCAAATCATTAACTTACCAAACCTAAACATCAGAAATACATGCATTTTTATATACTTTTCCATATTTAAAAACCTAATTGACTATGATGATTTGTGGAGATGAAAGTCACACACAAAGGTACTGGTTAGTAGCCTGAAAATCTTAGGAAATTGTGTCCATTTTTTAATACTTGAAAAGATACGCCGACATCTTCCAGTACATTAGAACTCTCCCACTGGTAAAACATATCCAATCTACAAGGGCCCTGAAATATTTCTCCCCCAAATTTTTATTGTGCAATTTAAAATACAGTAACTGCTAATGTAAGCTATAAGCAACAAGACAGGCATTCATTTCTTGGCAACGATGAACTAACGCATATTGTGAAAAGCAAAGTGTAAAACGATAAAATGTGTTGCCCTGTAAAGCCTGCTACCTACATACTCTGTGGGCAGGAGAGGCCTGGGCCATTCCAAAACCCGAAGGCTTTTCCACCAGGAATGAAATCGATCCCAACTGAGCAGCCTTCTAAAGAAGCCTCAGGCCTGACACCGGTCTAAGTACCTCATGACAGTTCCTACCCATCTACTCCTGAGCTGGGATAAATCGGTGATTCTTTACCGGAGGCAGAATTCTTTGCGGCAATCCACCTCACTGAGGAGACTCGGTTCCCACCTAGCACCCCCACTCCAGCTCCAAGGAGAGCACAGCAGTGGGAAGGATGCGTCTAAACCTGATCCCGGCTGCCTAGTGCCCGGCAAACCAAGTGCCTTCCCACTGGCTCGCGCCTCCCTCTGCCAGGAAACAAGCAGCGGCACCGGCTGAGGGGCGGCGGGTCGCCCATAATTAATCAATGAATGCAGTCAGCAACAGATCAATAACTTCTTTTCTGAAACGTACAAAACACCCTTTGAATCGAGGACAAGGTATTTACCACACGTCTTCTATTAAACAATTTCTAAAGGTTTTTTGTTCAGTTACTTATGCGGAAGATCCGTTTAAAGATCAGTGTTTTTTCACTTTTCCAAGTGCCAGTTTTTATTTAATCGCCACACACTTCAATTAGAGCAAACTTCAAATTTACGCGAGTATCTTTTTTTTTTCCTGCCACTGTTAATACTTAGACTATATGGCTGGCTTAAACTTGTAAGCTTTTTCTTCAACTTTTCTGGTATATAAAAACTATCCCACGGTAGATTTTTCATTTTTTATTCAAGAATTTTGAGATTAATTTTGCACAGAAACGAAGACTGTTGTGACAGGGAGACGCTGGCATAATGGGACATCGCAAAGGCAAGGTCAATAACCAGTACTGTAGTACATCTACTTTTCAATAAATTTTGGAATCTATCGTCATGTTACAGAGGACACTTAACAATAGTTATTACGATGTTCAAGGAGTATTATTCTCATTAACATCCTAATTTGTCACCTGACTCTTAAATACCACTGCTGCTGATTCCCTTCAATGTAGATTTAAAATTTTCCACTGCAACTAGAAACACTACCACCACCTGGAATTTGTTACATAATCAGGATTCTGCAACATGGCGTCTTTGCTGCATGTATCAATTCAGTATTTTCCCTAACAGTCAATTCTGATTGTGGCAGAAACAGTATTTTTCCTCTCCTCATCTCTTTTAAAAATATACCCATTTTCATAATATATTCCCACTGGTAAAAGGTCCAGCTGTAAGACTAATGCATAAAATTTAATATGTGGAAAATGAAAAAATACAAGTTTGGGTACTCTTCTATGATTTTATTAATGCAGAAGTAAGAAACAAGTGGGGGGCTTCTTTGCCTTAAAATATCCCCCCCCTTTTTTTTTAACTCTATCACAGATACTCGAGAGGTAAACATAAATCCTGCTTGCCTCGGCTTCGTCAAGAATGGACTAAGACTCGAGGCACTTCACAAATACTACTAACAAGAGAAGAGACTGTGGAGTACTGTCCTTTCATGAACGGGAGGGACAAAGCACAGCAGCCATAAATATCATGGCTACATTAACTAATTTTTAGTACAATTCTGAAATACTGGCATGGTTTTGAAATGCCAGAATATGCATGGCTTTTTAAGGCTTATCATTTTGTGGGGGGAAAAATTACTTGCAGCAAATAACCAAATTTTCTCAATTGGTAAAAATTATGCCTTGCATAAAAATAAAAGGATTAGAGGCCTCTGTTCTTCTTGAAAACCACCCCATCACCCCCTCTCTTTCTTTGAGAAAACCCACACAATACACATTTTGAAAGCTTTCAGAATGTGTTCTTACACAATAGACCCCCAACTAGTCAAAATGAGTTTAGGTGTATCAAGAAAATTATACACGTTTTTAAAACGGTCTAAATAGATATTAAAGGAAAGTTGCTCCCACTCTGCCAGGCACAGCATCCTGGAAGATCGCACAGTGAGAGAAATCTCTTACCATATTGTAAACCATAAATTGTGTTTGAAAATAAAATTGTTAATGAAGAAACTGACATTTCTAAAGCTGCTGTTTGAGGTAACCATTCTTGAAACACATTTATGACACAAAATCTTAAAAGCTCTAAAACACAGAAGTCACCGAATTGCATTATGTATTTCTTTAAAACAAAATCCAAACATAATAATGTGCCTCCTTCTTCAAGTTACTTTAAAATGATGAAATATAAATATATATTTTCATGAACGCTTGGCTTTTTTTTTTTTTTTTTT